CCCCAAAACCCCAAAACCCCTATTGATCCTTATCATAATTCTAAGATTTCTTAATATCAATAAATATAAAGTTTCCTATAATATTCAGTTGGTTTGTCCATATTTACGATTAAGATCAGCTCTTAGTCTTGCTCTACTAGCAAGAAGAGTGACATGTTCTCCATAATTTAGCTGAGAATACTAGTCAATAGTTCTGTTAAATCCTCTGGGAAGATTAGGTGGCTCTAAAATGTAATTGTAGGTTACAGCTATGACCTAGATAGCATAAAATAGGATATCTCCATGCTTAAACTTCTTAATATATCCTTTCTCACACATCAGCTAGAATAGGCATTCGAATGCTCTAGGATAAATTAAAAGTTTCAAGATTGATTGTTCTCCAGGGCTAGCTATCAGCAAAGCTAGAGACGAAACCATACCTGATATATATGTCTTCAACGCCACATTCATGTCTGGGAAATACTTATTGAGTAGGCATCGGGTAAGCTTATACAAGGAAGAAAATAGTCCGACAACTACTCCAAACTTTGGAATGTCAGAATATTATTTCATCAGAGATTAGATGCTTCTCTCAGTTATGATTCTTAGTACTAACTTAAGGGCAGTTCCTCTTAGGAAATTTATCCAAAAACTCTTAAGAATCTCGTTCTGGCATGTAAGTTTATGATCACAACCTGTCTTCTCTTATCCGCTTTCTTTGTCCATTTTAAATAAGCAATGTTTAGTTAGATAGATTATAAATAATAATAAAATATATTATTTAATGCATTAATAATAAATAAGAGCTTTCATTTAAAATCAACATGTATTACTAACCAACACCCATTAACTGGCAGAATTTTCACTTTTTAATTATGAGTTCTCCCGATAACGAATCCATGAAAAAGTGCATTAAGGTAAATTAATATTTCAAATAATTTGGTTCTAATAATTGGATCTATAGGATTTAAAGACAAACAAAGTAAAGTTATTGGTTAGAACATGTGAGAAGACGTATGATGAAAAACTGATTAAAGAAGCTGGCATAGACATCTAGGTAATTAAAATTAAAATCCTAACTCCCCTTTAGGAACATCAATTCCCAGATGGACATCTACCTTCTAAGGAAACAATCTAGCAATGGTTGAAATTGGTTGATGACTTCTTTGACGAACAAGGCAATTTTGCCACACAGAGCTTTCATGAAAATGGAAGAGCTTCAGTAGAGATCGCGGTTGTAGAAAACGATTAAAAGCTTCATAAAATGGGAGTCAAGAATGCTGATAGGCAAGATGCTCTTGGTGAAAGACGTATTGGAGTGCATTGTGTCGCTGGACTCGGAAGAGCTCCATTTTTCGTGGCAATTGCACTTGTTAATAATGGCTGTTCTCCCTCTAACGCCATTGAATTAATTAGAAAGAACAGACCTGGTGCTCTTAATCTGACATAAGCCAATTACATTCTCGAATTTAAGGGAATGCCTATTAAGGGCAAGGGCAAAGGTAGAAACAGTAAGAACTCTAGCTGCCAATGTCTGATCTTTTGAATACAAGGCCACCAAACTGGATGCCTTGGGACTTAATCAAGAGATGAAAATTGTTTCAAACTATTGGAAAAGTGTGAACATGAGGAGGTGTTCGGATTACTTGAAAATTTACTATATATAATTTCTTATCAAAAAATTTGGTACCAAAATTCTTATTCATATAATATCTGTTTAGATTCGAAATACTTGAAGCTTGGGGTTTTGGGGTTTTGGGGTTTTGGGGTTTTGGGG